GTCCTGTGAGGGGGCAAGCGGGGGCCTGCCGGAGCCGGAGGCCTGCCGGAGCCGGAGGTGACAATTCGCTGACTTCGGGGACCGGGAGGAAGCGCTCGGGGAGGTTTTCCCAGCGCCGTGACGGCGGGAGAGCCGCGCTCTCGTAGCCGAGCGTGCGTGGGTTATAAAAGAGCCGACTTCAGCCTCCCGTGAGCGTGCTTAGACTACTGCCAACCTAACATGGAAATAACAACACTGTATGCTCCGCTCCCCACCCCACCCCCCGAGTCTGTTTTTCCTCCCCTCCATACCTCTGCTCTCAGAGTCAGGAACATCTCATAGCTCGCTCTAGTACCTTCCAAAAGCAAACCCAGGCCCGTTTCTCCCCGGAGCAAGACAACTCTCGGCCATCCTTTTGTCCAGCAGAGAATACGGCACTCCGCAGTGGTGCTGCGCCCAGCCAGGCACCCTCCCTGCGACCCTGCGGACGCTTTGAGCCAGTTGCAAAGCGAGTTTACAAGCCGTTCTGTTGTATGAACGTTGCTCATTACACCCCAAACACGCAAGTGCAAGAGAAGATGAAATACAAAGCTCTTAAATGCAGTTCACAATGCACTGAACTCTCCTATACTTGATTATCCCTGTACTGAAACATTATAATTGATCTCACAAGTACTGTCATGGTGGGGTAACTTTTGCCCAACCTATATGTCATAACTCCCCAGAACCCCTTACCAATACTGCATTTCTGCCTCTCTTTACCTGAGACACAGAAAAATGGCCTTTATCAGGCTGTAGTCAGACTTCTGAAGCCTGTCAAAGGCACAAAAAGGTAGAGAAGAGATCCAAATTAAAACTAAAAATAATTATGTTTTTCAGGGAACTTGGAATGGGCCTGGAATTCCTGATCTTTGGCAGTTAAACAAAGGCAGAGGGTGGGAATGAGGACCACTGAGAATTAATAAATTGGTACGAATGAAAGTAGCGATAGTTCAGATGACAACTGTCGATGTTGACATCTCTACCCACCACGGGGGGGGGGGGGGGTTACCTTAAGGTAGGAACCTTAAGGTTCTGCTACTGTGATTTAGTATGCAGAGAAACACGGATCATACTGCTGCCTTCCTGCTCACAGGTGGGAGGTTTGTTGGCCCTGGTGCTGTGAGTGCACTGCACTACCTCTGGATACAGGCTAATCAATTCCCCAATCAGTAACGAAGCTCGGAGAGCAGCTATGGAAGCGGTGAAAAGAGTGGCTCAACAGAGGGCCTCCGTTTTTCATGAAATTAGTTGCTTCAGCTTGTCTCTAGCTTGAGAAATCAGAACACTTCGTAACCCTGAGGCTTGGTCAGTCAAGGATTTGCTGCTCTTTTGGAAACTGTTCCCAATTATATTGCAGCATTTCTGAGTCTATGTCAAGTGTTCAAGGCATGAACTTACCAAAGACTGGGGTAAGGCCTTTGCCAAAAATTGAAGACTCACTTTTTCCAGTTGAGTCATACCAGTAGATAAAGCTTTAAAAAAAACAGAAAAAATAGCAGCAAGGCCAAAAAAAAAACCCTGAAGAAGTTAAATCCCTGATACTGCAAATAGGTCTTAAAGTTTGAACAGTGGTTCTTGGGTTTTTTAAGAGAGAGGGTTGGCATCTAGAAAGCTGGTCTGCTGTTGCTTTTCTTAGCTGAACTCCTCAAACTTGTCACTCGATAGCTCTTTCACCTCTTTTTTTTCCCCCCAATGCTTTGGATATTGTGTGTTTTTAGCAGCTGTTTTGGGTGCTACGTGGTATTTGAGAGTTGGTTTTGAACTCATGCTGGCAGCATGAAGCACCGCCCACACACATCAGTTCAAGTTACATGGCTGTGACAGGGTTTTTGATTTAAACAATTTTAAGCAGACTGTATTACAGGTGAGCCTTATAGGCAAGAAACTCAGTGCAAGTCCCTGAGGCTTACTCTAAGTTTATGTGCACTGTGTAACTTGAGAGATTTTTATCTAGACAATGTGGCTTTTCATTCCCAAGCAGAAACTTTGGCTTTGGGAAAGGGGGAGATTGGCACCAGCACCCCCCAATAAAAAGGTTACTCAGTCTTTTTATTGCAGACCTTTTAGCTGCCAGCCTGGGTGACTGTTTCTGTAGCATCTGCTGGGGAAGTTCCTTGCAGACAGCACGGGCTTAATAGTTGCCTTAGTAGGGTCTGAACAAGCTTACCTTTTAAGTGCTTAGTGAAAGCTGGCTGATTATTGTCCCCTGTCAGGGTAAATGGACTGTTAAGGAATTAAGACATTCTTGAGAAAGGTACAGATGTCGTGTTGGCATACTGATGTATAAAACCTATGGTGTAGGAACACCTCTCGGCCTCTTAATTGCTGAATTAGCTTGCAGAATATCAAGGAACAGCTTCCTAGCTCCTCAGATGGATTTATTCTAAAACGTGACTGATTGATTGCAAGGCACTACAGACTTGTGCTGTGCTACTCAATTTTGACTTGTCATAATTAAAATTTTGTTTCTGGCTGGGAAAGGTGTGCCGCTACCCTTGCACTGGAATTTGAAAATCCTCCCCACAAACATGTGCCAGTAGGACCTGCTAGTTTTGAATGGTCTTGGGAGGGAAGATGACAGAAGGAAGGGCTGTGAACACGATGGAAGCCGATTAATAAGCACATGGAAAAGTATTGGTGTTTGCTTACTAATGAGGTGCGCAGGGAATCTCCCCAGGCTGCTCCTCTGCCTGCAGGAACCGGCAGGGAGGAGGCTTTGGCAGCACATGGAGATCAGACGGAGTGCTGACTGTGGGGAGAGCAGCGGGAGCATCGCCTGCTCTCCGCTGCTGAGGGGTCTGAAGCAAGTTCAAGTGGCTCTAAGAGCTGCGGAGGAGCAAGAGGAGGCAGTGGTGATGCGATGAAAAGGAGCCACCTGGTAAACATGAGTGGCCGCCAAGTCAGATGACTTGAGCGGGAGCACGAGAGCAGTCTTGAGGATAGGAGGACACCAGGCTGGCTAAGGATAGAGATGAGTCAGGCAGGGGAGAACAAGAGCAACTGGTTGAGGAAAAGCAGGATGCGGTTGTGAAACAGGGAGCTGGTAGAAATACTGTTGGGTGACAGGTTCTTATTTGCTCTGGGACGTGGTAGTCTTTAGCTTGGATCGTGAGGAGGGGACAAAGACAAGGTAGGAATTTTTCATTTGCAAGTTTCACCTTGCTTGAGAATCTAGGCAAAACTGAATATTGTTATGGCTTCAGGAAGGGACTGCCTATCCTGGGCACCAAGGAGAGTGGTAGTTCCCTGCTCAGTAAAGAGTTGGTAGCAGGAGACGCTGTTTCTCTTTGATCAGTAGCGTGGAAAGAGAACTCAGTCTCATTGCCAGCTGTATAAAGGAATCTCCAGTGAAGAGCTAGGAAGAGTATGTATCTTCCTAATGGGAAGTCCCCTGAGGAAGATAGAGCTGCAGAAGTCTCTAGTAGTAGGTACCTTATCTAGGATCAGCTGTGGGATACAGCAAAGGGTCTTCAACCTTTAACTGGTGGATAGCAAAGGGGCACATGAAAATACAAGCAAATTGACTACAGATACAAGACTAATGGTTCAAACGTCTGCATTTGTTAGAAGTCCAAGAGGTTTGCAGATTGAAGGGCATTGACATTGAAACTTCATAGTAAAAATAACCACTATTAAATGGTTCTTTATTCTGCAGAGTGGTTGCATTGATTGCTACAAGGAACTGGCTCTTCCAGGAAATACCAGTATTTAAAAATGGGTAACTTGTTCTGAGGTGGATTTGTGTTTGTAGGAAGTGTTTAGGTAATGCTTACGCACTTAGAATCAACTCACTGTTTAGAGCATTATTGCTTAAGTCTGTGCTGTGGTGAGGAGGCCAGACCTCAGAGTGAAATGCAGGTACATCATGAATTATAATTACACTCTTAAACTGTAGTCAGTTGTAAAGTTGGGGGGGCTAAAGGCTCAATAGCGACATGTGGCCTTATTAAAGCTGAAAGATTTGACATTAGTCCTGGAAGATTCTAGAGCTTTGTTCCAGCCTTGTGCTCTTCTGACAGGCACATCATCTTAGGTTGTTTTTTATCCATTTCTTTACTCTAGAGGCAGAAAGCCCAAAGCAATTGTCTGTAGGCACTTAAAAGCTTCAGGAAGGGGTGACCCAAAGACTGTGGCACATGTCCAGCTACAGAAGTCAAGCTGATGTGATTTCAGGGCTGGATCTAGCAAAAGTATGACATGATGTTTATGCAGTGATTTGTACTGCTCAATGTTGGGAGCACTTGGGAGAGAAAGACCATAGGAAACTTCCAGGAAGGAACATTTCAGGAGGATTAAGGCAGCTGCAGATCATTGATTTGGTACAACTTTGTTGTATTCAATACAATCTGGACTAAAAAGTTGGGTGGTGGGGTTTAATTACCCGTCTGTTCAAATATTTGTTGTTAAATCTTTTCTCTCCATTCTTCCCCTTGGGAAAAAGTCATCTAATACTTCTGCAGTACTTTTACTCCAGAAACATCTAAGCGATTCACAAAGGCTAGCAGACAGCATGTTTTGTTATGAAATAAGTAATCCTTATTTCCAGTTTATAGACAGGGAAAACAGGCTTGGGACTAGACTTGCCCTTAAAGATACGAGTGAGTGACCTGCATAAAACAGGACTAACATTGGGAGTTTTATTCCTTTCACTTGACTTTATCCATATTGCAATGTAAAATAACTTCTTCCTTATTCTTTGGCTGCCTAACTGCAGCTTAGTTTTACTAATTGAACCCCAACTGCCCTCTCTGCTGGAGAGCACTCTTGCAGGAGCGCCAGCACAACATGCTTTCCCCAAATACTCTTAATTTGTTTGCCCCCGTGGAGATTTTGGCCTGCATTTTCTATCACTAACATTAAAATAGATCCTGCTGCTAAGAACACAGGGGATGGCAGCGTGCTTCCTGCTTCTGACAGAGCCGGTTGGTACCTACGAGCTTACAGAGCTGTAAGACAAGTCTGACCTCAGTGTTTTTTTGGAAGAGAACCATGTGTGGTTTTCTCTTGGCTTTTCTGTGCAATCCCTCATTCTCCCTCCCTTCACCAGGAAATCCCTTCTCCTGCCAACAGGAGCCAGAGGAATGTGCTGTTTGTTTACCTTCTCACTCCTTCATCCTACTAACCTTCCCGCCCCCCAGTTGTAATCCTAACAGGCTCGGTTCAGTCTTTCATCCTTCTGACAGAGCACTACTCAGTTGAGTATTTTCAGATAAAAGGATTGCTGCAAGAAGCTGTTCTGACCAGGGTCTGCTTAGCGTGGGTGAGGCCGTGGCATTCTGCAAGGCTGGGGCTGTCCTCTCGCCTGTCTTTCTGTGCCCTGGCTGGCAGCTGCTTTGTTCAGTATCGCTGCATGTCATCATGATGTGCTACAGGATAGCAGGGAAGAGCACGCTTCCCAAGTTCTTCCCTTTTCCAGCGTTGCCCTGCGTGGTTTTCCCTTTTTGGGGTAATAAGCTAGGAGTCTCGATGTACCCGCTTCTCATAGTTTCCCTACTGCGTGAACTGAAGGAAGTCTTCCAGTTACTCCCTCCCAACAGTATTCATATCTTCTAACCTGACCTGCTATTGCTATCCCAGACTGCTAAACTTCATTCTTCGGTCCCCTTTCAACAGTTCTGGCTCTGTAAAAACACCTGTAAGGCATTTATTATTTTTAAAACCATCTGAAATTCTTGGATTAAGATGTTTGAACTGCTTAGAAAGAAAAAAAAACCCACACACACTTAGTGTAGTTGATGTGGTTGCTAAAGGTAGCAGCTTGTTTTCTGGACTTGTAGTGTGATGCCATCCCTGCTTAGAGAAGCCCTTAAAGCTCACTGTTTCCACGGGGTTTTACAATAATCCAAGTGAAGAAATCCTGTGTTTACAGCACTTATGAAAATTGCCATTTTGAGACTCTCCCCTCTTTGATCTATTCACATACTTTGTCTTATCTGACTTTAGCTGATTGGCAAGGATTATAAATCCCTTAAGCAGGGACTGTCCTCCCCTTTGTTTTGCAGCCTGGACGCTGTCGGAGCTTTCCTGGGTGGCTACGTGTATAGCTTGAATTTTACGCTGTCCTGCTGGAAGACTTTATAATGGGTCTGTGCCTGGGGAGGAAGCAGTTTGTGCGCTTAACACTTCCTAGACAACACTTGCTTAACGTTTCTTTGTAGCACCTAATAGTTTACCCCTCACTTGCATTTCTTTATACCATCGCTGAAGTCTTTGGACTGTCTTGGATAAATACGTGTGTAGGGAAGGCTGCAGCAGCTTGTTTTCCTTTCTGTTTTCCCCTCTCCCTTTCTGTTCCTGCACTGTGCTAAAGAAAAGGGTCTCATAACTGTTAGCCTGGTAAAAGCCTGAGATACAGAGCACCTACGGGATATACTTCTACACCAGCAATAGATAATCATGTCCCCAGTGGTTCAGAAGGCAGGAAAGTTTCCACCAGCTCTGAGACACACCAGAATTTAGTGTTAGGAGTTCGAGCATCAGCATACGATGCTTGGGAGTAAATGAAGCTGTACGGGAAGAACGTCTGTTGATCTTTTTGCTGTGTTTCTCTGACAGTCTGACATTTTACCCTTCCCTACAGAACAGCCTGACCGCCTGCCTGCCAGAGGAGTTGCTGGAGACTGTTCTGGAGCACATCTGATTGCTGCTGCCACAAGGCCCCGCCAGCCAGCCACAATGTACTGCCTTCAGTGGTTGCTACCTGTCCTGCTCATACCCAAGCCCCTCAACCCAGCGTTGTGGTTCAGTCACTCAATGTTCATGGGCTTCTACCTGCTCAGTTTCCTCCTGGAACGGAAACCTTGCACAATTTGTGCCTTGGTCTTCCTGGCAGCTCTGTTCCTCATCTGCTACAGCTGCTGGGGGAACTGCTTCTTGTATCACTGCACAGGATCCCAGTTGCCAGAATCGGCTCACGATCCCAGCATAGTGGGCACCTAGAAAACAATAATCTTCCAGTCTGCTGAGGGCTCTTGTTTTGCTTTTAAAAAGGGGGTGGGCTAGGGAGGAGGGGGGGGTGTTAGGCATGTGACTGGAGTAAAAACAGCCTGTTTCCTGTAACTGTTTGTGGACTAGAGTGGTAAATTCCTCCCACTCTGCCTGTGAAATTCGACTTGTTTACTGTGTGAACTCTGGCAGCACCACCTGCTTTTTTAGAACCAGAATCCTTTTGTTTTTTTTTTTTCCCCCCCTTCCCGTATCACCGGGAACGGACACCAGCCCTCCTAACTGAGAACTGGTGGAGGACCGAGCTGCTGGCCTCTGCCCAGCTGTTGCATGGTGGTGGAGTTGTGTGTCACTCACTTGTCTGCATTAGGCCACGGGGGTCTAACTCAGGGCTTTCGGCCCACTGATTCTGCTCAAGTAGCTACAAGATTCTCTCCATCTTTCTCTTTGTGGGGAGCCAGCCTTCCCGCCTTGCTGATCAAGGGCAAGCTCGACAGCTCACAGATGCACTTGGCCAAAAGCTGCTGGAGCCAGAGGCAGTTGAGTCATCTCCTCCTCCTCAGCCTGCCAAAGAGATGCGTGCACTGCCGAAGTGCTTTCCGAACTACTTACGCTCCGAGATCATAGCCTGAAAGCCTCAGTTGTGCTGCTGCTTTTATAAAGCCTCACAGGTAGTAGCGACTGTCTCTTCCCCTCTTCCTAGGGGTTTCCAGGGTTTACCGAGGTATTGACTGTTGGGATAAAGAACCAGTATGCTGCAAGATGCAGGGTTTTGAAAGCCACTGTGAACCTCACCCTATAAAACTCATGGTAGCCCAAAAAGCCAGGTGTGAGCAGGGCAGGAGAGGATCCCGAGGTGGAGGCATGGCTTGAAGCAGTAGATGCTTCAGCCATTTTCAGTCATAATGTTTTCGGGCCAGGGGTGACAGAAGGTGCTGGTGCTACTGACTGGTTAAGGGAGGAGGCTAGAGGAGCACCTGGTGTCTCCATCTCTCCTAGCAGAAGGATGTCAAGAAGCCTAGGTGGTGGTGGGTCAGTCCTACAGCCACAGCTGTGCAGAGCTCCACGCTGCATACGTGACTCTCTGCAGCCGTGGCTCCTGGGGAGCCCAACCTGGGGCAGAAGTTTGTGAGATGCCTTAGAGGTTCACACAAAATACTGTCTCTAAACTTTAAAGGGTTCCTTCCCCTTTGCCATCTGTTTGTCTTTACTTCAGTCTCATTGGGGAGAGCAGGAGAAGTGGCTGTTGCTGTCCCGAGGAAGTTCAAGCTATGAGGTTGTGAAACTCCCAGAGTATTGTTTGTTCATTGCACAGCTGTTCAAAACGTTTAATAAAGCTTTATAAACTTTGGTCTGTGGCCTCCTGCCCAGCATGACGCATTGGCTGTTCATCGCGGATGCGTTAGCCCAGCAATCATGTGTCTGTATTGTTCTGTTCCCAGCACAGTAACCCCAAAGAGTCTCCAGCAAGAGGCAGGGCCCGTTTGCCCTGTAGCTCCTGGTACTGACTCTTCTCGTTAACTGTTTAACCTGACTGTGGGCAGACTGAGAACCATACTGGCAATTCCTAAACAGACTCATTTTTACACACAACACAGGAGGTCGCTTCTGGTTGTGTCTGCACTTATGTGACAGATTCCTCCTTTCCTTACCGCTTACAAAATTAAACCGCAGAGCCATGTCCCGAAAGCCGCTAATCCCCAACGCCAGCAGTAAAAGTGTTGTCTGCCAGGGGCCTAGGCAGTGTAAGCCCGTCCCACGACACCACGTCTTCCCGACCTGTCCCCCTGCTGCGGGCAGAGACCGGGCCGCAACCCGACTGTCATGAGCCATCCAGGGGGGAGATTCAGTTGTGTCGGCCCTTCCCCAGCTTTGGCCCTGACCCTGCGTAGTACCGGGGGCAGAAGGGGAACACGCGCTGCAGCCAGACACAGGACTATCGGATCATGGCACTCAGGAGCACCTCAGGGAGTTAAAGGGCGTAGGAGCCATGCTGCTGGAGCCGAAACCAGCTTCCTCTACCTTTGCTCTGAAGCCCTGAAGACCAAGTCCAAGCTGGAAAGGGTTCAGGGCATATCAGTGTTTACGTGTTTAAAAAAAGAAAAAGTGTGCGCCACATCACCAAGAATAGATATGACAGCTCTGTCACCTGTCAGGCTGAGGGAAATCCTGGTAGCTGTCACATCAGCTGCAGCATAAAAAACAAATAGGGGAAGGCCTCTCATTTGCAAGCTATGGCAAGACTTGTCTGCGCTCTGAGCAACTTTTAAGTTCAAATTTATTTAAGCTAATGCAGTCGGTTCTCTTAAGAGTACGTTTTTGTTGCTAACTAGCCAAGTTGCACTCTACAGCAATTTAAATAAATCCTAGCCACGAAGCCAGACAGTCCTTTGGATGAGAGCAAGCCCTGGCTTTGTACATGGGGTTCAAGACACGACACTGCTGCAGGCTTTCCCTTCTGCGAGACCCAGCTTGGAGGAAAAACTACTTCAAAAGAGGGAGGCTGCTGGTGTAGCGACAGGAGAGATCTCGGCAAACTGATGTGTAAGAAACCTACTTTTTACAGCCCTTCCACCCCAACCGTAGTTAAAGAGCAGTCTTTGATATGCACGCAGCCCTCACCAGCACACTGTCTTACCCTCTTTAGGGCACTGAGATACCATCTTCATTTTAAAGATAGAAAATTAAAGCAACTTCATCATGGTCAGACAGAAAGCCTCAGGCGGAGTGAGGAACTCAACCAGGTCTCGCATCCCATGCTAATGCCCTGCTCGTCCTTCTCTGTAAAGAGACCATGAAAAACCAGCCTGTGACTGCAGAACAGGTCAAACCCGATGGCTTTTGAAAAGCATCATCACAGCTTCCCTGCTTGTGCACCACAAATTGGACTGAGCCCGTACAGACGCAGCACCTGTGCTCTCGGGCAGGCGTTTGCTGGCTGCACGGAAGAAAGCTCAGAGATGTTTCGCCCTGGTCTCAAAGAGCTTCTCTGCCAGGAGAGCAGTGGGCTCTGTCCCCTGGTATCCTGGAGGCACCAAGGGGTCTCTGCGTGGGGACCGCACCGGCGGGCAGTCAGTCCAGGGGATAGCTACACCAGTGACTCCAAAAGCAGTGGGGTCTAAAACACAACTGCTGTGTTGTGCCAGGTCCCATCGAGCCTGGACACTGCCCTCAAGGGCTTTGGCGCAGAGCAAGTCTCATCACCTATTATAAAGTGTCCATCTGCCTGGTGCTCCCTGGATACAGGGAGCAGGAGCCTTAAGCTGTTCCTTTGTCTTTCCATTTGAAGGAGAGATCATTTTCTTTTCTAGGTCACATAACAGATCAGTGACAAAGCAGGGTCAGGAAAGGAAAAAAAAAAGCCAAGCCCAGGCTCAGATCCCTAGAAACAGAGATGCAGCACAGCTCAGGCAGACCTCGGGCTCCTCACTGCAGCCTCGGGGTCTGGGGGCTTCTCACTCCCCTCCTCACCACTGGTCAGGGAGAGGCAGTATCCCAAGATGAGCAACTGGGACACCACAAGGCTTCCCATGGAGAAGGTTTGGCCATGACTGCCAGGCTGGTATGGCTTTTGGAACCCTAGAACTGCTGGATATCCACGTTGGTGCATCTCATCTCAGGGGCTGATGTTTGGCAGTCGAGATCCCCGGCACCGCTCGGGGTGCAAGTAGGGAACCAGCTGTCTGGGGCCACCACTGCCACCAGCCGCTCTCCCAGTGCCTGCCCGTCCATCCCTGGATCTTGCTGGGCGATTAGTGCCTCCTGCCTGGATGCTCTCCCTGCTTACCCTGAGACAAGCCCACAACGTGGCCTTATTAACTTAGCAGCAGACGGAGAAGAGAGGTTGATCCCACTGAGAAGCTGTTTGGGCTGGAAGCACCCACGGGCCAGCTCAGAGGCAGCTAAGTCCAGAGGTGCAGCCCTGCTGCCAATAGCGCCGGGCTCCCACAGCCTCCAACCTCATCCCCTTGTGCTGTTACCCTGGGGCTGGTCCAGCCAAACCCCCCCCCCCAAGCCAGGGAAGCCGCAAACATCACTCAGGGCCACAGAGAGCCCTGCCAGCACCCTTTGGTCTTGCCTGTCTCTCGCTCCTTGCACTGGAGCAGTTTCCTAGCCCTCAGCCACCGAGGGAGGTAAGCTACACGTCAGGTAAGGACTTTAGCCCTTCCCTTGGGAGCTTGGAGATTAACCCTTGGCAAGAGGGTTTTGCTACTCCTCCGAGCAAAGGCAAATCCTCTGGTAGCGGGGCAAGGGAGGACGTATGGCTCGGGTGCCACCCAGACCTGCTGCTGGGGGAGGGGGGGGGAGTTCTGGGTGGCGGAG